CGCCAATTTCAGAAATGCTCCGAAACACTGCGCTGGCCAGTGATTTCAAGCACCGCCACGGGGACCCAACTGCCACAGAATCCCTGGACGTCCACGCAATACCCCAAAAACTGTCCCTGGAAGTGAACCCGCCTGCAGAGTTTAGGGTATAGTCCCCCCTTTAAGATGATATTGGACATTTCCATGTTCTATTCACAGGGTTTTCAGGCTTAGGAGCTTCAGGTTTTCAAGGCTTTATCGGGTTGTTGTCAACTCGGGACCCTACACTTCAGGGCCACGGAAACTTTGACATGATATCCCCCAAACCTTTCATGAACCTTCATGGTATCTCTGTCTAGGTGGGTCACGGGAAGACTTGGAGTTTTTGTGGTTCATGGATTCTGCATGTTTAAACTTGATGGGCTTTGCAGCTTAGGGGTTTGCTTCAGAATTAGGGGTTTAGGGTTTACGGTTTATGCTGAAGCCTGCGCGGATTCCAAGCTGCGGCAGTCTTGGGTTTGAGGTTTCAGAGAGCTAGAAAACATCTACGCACCAGTGACGAGGGCTATACAGTACTACCACAAGAGCAATTCCCGTAACAACGTTGCAGCATTAGTTGTGGTGATTACTGCCATTGAATTATTTCCCTGCTCTGCGACCTTTGTGGTGTAGCAGTATAGGGAGTTTTGAGAGATCGTTCCCCACAAAACATCCCTAAACCCTAAATCCCTAAACCAAATCCCTAAACCCCAAACCCCTAAACCCTAAACCCTAAACCCTAGGTTTCATCCCTACACCTTAAATCATAAACCAGGCTCCTGTCTGGAAGTGGCTGGCTGGGACGCCCAAGGAACCTCACATGAGGCGGGAGCACCTTGCAAAAAGGGTTGAATTGGCCAGTTCAATTAGGAGTTTAGACGATGGCTTATATACCACAAAAAGGTTACCAAATAAGTCACTTACTTTTCTAATTGCATTTTTGCGGGGCTCGAAATATGTTACAACGTCTTACACACTTTGGGGCAGAGAGGGATCTGTGAAGGGGTACTGGCTGAAGGGCTGCGGGCCGTAGAAAGTCGATCAGAAAATCACAGCTGGGGATTGTCCTAAATTACTGTTAATACGGGGTCCTCTATTTAGGTTCCTGTTATAATACGGGGCCCTATATAAATTTCCCCCATTTTGGGAACAGTAATTTAGGGAAACTTCCAACTACATTTTGCGTCGGCCTGGAACACATATGAGCAATGGTCTAAACTCCTTAAAAGGGGGCTTATTATAGGGGATTATATAGGGGACTACTATAGGGGATATTAAGGGGGATACTAGGAGTTTAGACTATGGCTCATATGAAAAACCTCGCATGCTGTAAGGTATGCTCTTTCCATCAAAGGGTTTTGTGGTACTGTACTGCAGAGGGCGTTGTGGCATTCTTTCGGTCCGTTTGAGTGGGCTATGTCATAGGGCTGTGCAGGTATGTGGCAGATCACCTCTGCGCTTTGCGGAGCCCTTGGCTCAAGCTGGTTTTGCATCCCGAAGTCTGGCTAATATGAGCTATAGTCTAAACTCCTATTATATTAAGGGGGATACTAGGAGCTCAGACTCTATTGCTGATATGACTTGCTCTACGGAGCTGGTTGGGATCTTCCTGATGGTTGCATCGGGGACTGTTGCTGGGTTGCTGTTGAGGATCTTCTTATAATGGAGAATCAAATGGAAAAGAAAATGGAACATGAAATGGAAACTGGGGGGGAATGTAGGGGTTCAAGGACCTTATTTCAAGATACTATATTGGAGAAACAATATTAATTACTATATCTACCGGTAACTTGATTTAAGTTTCTTTAAACCCTAAACCTAAACCCTAAACCCTCATCCCTACAACAACCCAGGTTGTGACCTGTGAGATGGTCATAAGTAAGATCATCGAAGAGATGGAGTGGCCATATTGGTATCTTCTTGCAGCCTGTTGCGTCGTGGGCACCGCCGTCAACGGGCTGTACCTGTAGTCTCCTTAGGATTTAGGTTTCTTTTTATTGTAGTATACTACAAGGTTCCTGAAAATACTTATTAATTTCTTTTACCAACAATCCTAATATTTAGCTGAAATTATAATTTCTACTGGGGTTCCAAATCCCTTAGAATATAGCCGTCATTGTAGTATAAGCTGAAGGAATTATTAACCCAAATCGTATTTCCATTCTTAGTCAGGGGGGATTACAGGTACCTGTTCTGGCAGGGCATCTGGTGTCCTGGCCCGCAAGACATCAAGTGGGTGCTCTCGCGCTCCATCTTCGAGAACCTGCATCTCCTATGATCCCTTAGGAATCATTTGTACTTGTAATATATCATTTAAAACTACACTAGTCATAATCATGCAATAGCTGAAATAATAACAGTAATAATGCTAGTAGTACTAATAGTTATGTTTATAATGCAAACAACGGTATTTTTTGTGCTAGGTCTAAAGGGGATTACTCAGGAGGACCCCCCACCCTGTAATAGTGGTATAAGAGGAATATAAGAGGACCCTATTATAATCCTTATACCCTAGACCCTAAACCCTAGACCCTAAACCCTAAACCCTAAACCCTCAAGCGGGTGGGGGGTCCACCTAAGGGGATTACAGGCATTGGATACTGGCCATCCTGGCCGTGCTCATCGGAGCTGCTCCCGGCGACGTGGCAGCGCTCACAAGCATCTGGGTTGCTGTTAAGGAACTTAAATTAAGTTAGGGTTTAGGGTTTAGGGTATATTATCCCCCTATACTGGAGAATCAAATGGAAAAGAAAATGGAAAATAAAATGGAAACTGGGGGAATATAGGGATTGAAGGAATTTAAATTAAGTTACTATATTGAGGAAGCCCTATTATTTACTATATATACCCATTATGGTAAGCCTAAACCCTAAACCCTAAACCCATTATGGTAACTTAATTTTAAGTTCCTTAACAGCAACCCAGGCATCGATATCATTGCGGCAGCGCTTCTGGGCCTCCTGTTTCTGGGTTGCTGTTAAGGAACTTAAATTAAGTTAGGTTTAGGGTTTAGGGTTTACGGTATATTATCCCCCTATAATGGAGAATCAAATGGAAAAGAACATGGAAAATGAAATGGAAACTGGGGGAATATAGAGATTAAGGAACTTAAATTAAGTTACTATATTGGGAAAACCCTATTATTTACTATATATACCCATTATGGTAATTTAATTTAAGTTCCTTAACAGCAACCCAGGTTTCTGGGAGAGCGAGTCAGCGTTCTGCATTTTGTGGCCTTGGTTCTGTCAGTGACAGGTGCAGTTTGCATCTCGCAACCACATTTCCTCTTCGGTGTTGATGGCAAAGAGCCGCAGCAGGCCCCCATGGGCTATTGCCTTGCGATGCTTTCAGGATGCTTTCAAGCCTGCTGCTATGTGTGCGCTCGTAAGTCTGCCCACATCCCTGTGTCCCTTCTGACAGTTGTTTCCTTGCTGCTTGCCATACCCCTCACATGTATACCACCATTGCTACAGATTGGGCACGGCAACTTTGAGCCTGTGAGAGAGGCGCCTTGGCGGGCTTTGGGCCTTCTCTCAATGCTGGTAGTGGTAACATTGCTCTCTATTTTGCTTCCGGCAGCGGGGTCCACCAGATGCCCAGCAGCGGTCAGCGCGACCGTCTACACATCTGCAAACATGATCACTGGCTACCTGGCGCAGACGGTTCTCTTCGATGATGTCCCCAAGCCGTTAAAGCTCTTTGGCGCGGCTTGCATGCTGCTTAGCGTGGTGCTGATGGCTGTGCGCTGCCAGGCACAGGACCAACCTGAAGAGCCGGAGCCTTCCTGCGCAGATGTTGCAGATACGACGCCCACCCCTGCCACGGACGACGAGACACGGAGCCTTGGATCCTTCGTAGCTTCGGAGGTCTCCTTCTCCTCCAGCTCCAGCCGCCTGCGGCGCCGCAGCAGCACCAGCTCCAAGCCCTTGCCGCAGCGGCTGGGGACCTGCCTGCCGGTGTGGTGCTTGCCACAGCCATCTGCTTAGCTCCCACGGCTTCCCGGCCCCTCCTGAGTCCAGAGTGCAAGTGAGAGAAGGCGGTACAAAACGTGCCGCCATGCAAAATACATTGCGCACAATTCGCTTGCGGAGAATGGTTATTTGCTTCACAAGTCCCACTGGGAGGACATGAGATGACATGAGGTCAGTCCTGCATGTTGAAGCAGTCCAACATCTGACCCAGAAGCGGTCAGTTTCTAAGAATTTTCCCAGCTTTACCGCCAAGGCCAAGCTGGGCCAAGCTATTGCTTGAGCAAGGTACCGCCAGATTGACGACAGGTTGAAGACATCAGGTTTATGGGCCAGGATGGGGCTTGTACATGTTTTGTTTAAGAGTAATAAGAGTTCTAGTAACAGTAGTAGTCGTCGTCGTCGTCGTCTTCGTCGTCGTCGTCGTCATCGTCGTCGTCGTCGTAGTAGTAGTAGTCGTCGTGGTGGTGGTGGTGGTGGTGGTAATGATAGTAATATTCACCGCCGAGGGGGCACCCCCTAGTGGCATAAGCCTTCGCTGGAGTTTCGACACGTACCCATCAGGGCATTCTTGTGATTCTTGTGTTGAATATGCGCAGCTGGAATAGCCTGAGCCCTTGAGGACTGCCCCTAACCCCTCAACCCTGAATTGTGTGCATAGTCAGAACTCGATTAGGATGGTGTCTTTCGCGTCTTCCCCTGACTGCTGACACTGCAGTGATCAGATGCAGGAATCCCCCCTTCCATTACTATTATAATTATAATTATTATGATTATTAACACTTGTGTATTACTATTAATACGATTCAATATTATCATTATTACTTATTGTCATTATTATTTGTTATTACTATTATTACTAGTATTACCACTATTTTCAGGGTCTTCCTGTGTTTAACCTTGGAGCTTTCAATGGGGATTGAGAAGTCGCTGCCGGCACGAAGAGCAGATGGCTTACCATTTAGGTAGGCTAAAATTATACCGAACGGCCGTTTTCCCTCTTTCGTCTTGAGACAATGAATTCCAGTAGCTGAGAACATTCTTCAGGATCAGCCAAACTGTACGCACCATCTCAAACCCTGTTTTATATGTGTAGGCTTGCGAGAGCTCGCTGGCAGAAAGATTTGGGAAGTTAGTGCTGAGGTGCAAGTATACACCTGGACTTCCCACATACTGATAGTAGTAGCTTACATGCCCATTATACTGGGGTTCAGGGCCATTACCATGGGGTCTACTATAGCTTCTGCTGGCCATTGTGGTAACAGTTGTTATAAGGGGGAATGGCTTAAGTTAGGAACGTGATGGTCTTGCCGGAAACTTCGTCTCTAGAATAGCTGAAGAACTGACGAGGGTCCTGGCTTATCAATATCTCCCGTTATCCTTAAACCTGCAGGCACTGTACCCTAATATTACCCCAAGACCCTACATAATATAGTAGTTTTCATTTTCGTTTCCATTATCCCAATATAAACCCAGTATATGCTATAATAACACCAAAAAAATCACCCTAATATTAACTGTTGAGCTCCAGCCGGTTAGTGGGGAGCGAAGGGATGGATCTCTTTTGTAGTCCCGGGAGAAGAGGGGGTTTTCCAAAATTAGGGCTATTGTTTGGGGGGTTCCTATAATGAGGACGAATATTGGGGTCCCCCTATTTGGGGAAACTGCCAAGAATCCTACGATCTATTCCCGCCTCTCTGCCAAGTGGCAAGTACCATGGAGTTGAAGCTGTGATCTTGCTTGTGGACAGGCTGAGGAAGACTTGGCTAGACCGCAGCAGCCTCTGGCAAGGTGCAATGCAATTACTTGCAGGAGGTGGCATCTTTTCCCAAGTGGAAGAGAGGTACAGTACGAATTATTATCCCATTGGAACGGCGCCAAAGGTGCGATTAATTTATGAATTCAAGGTCAGATGCAAGGTGCAGGACTCCTGCGGAATCACGCAGAGGAACTGCATTGAAAGCTGGATGACGACTGTATGCAAGTGCGGGCAGACGTCGAGTCGCATGGAGCTTGGGAAAGGCTGGCTTCCCTTGCGTTCTGAACCTTCATACCATTGCGTGTTCCTACTGATTCAGATTTCTTTCCGTTTGCAAGGCTGTGCTGTGCTACTGTAGCAGAGCCAGTGACATGATGGCCAACCTTGTATAGGGTCATATAGGTTGGGGGTTGGGATAGTGCATTGTGGTCGGGAACAGTGGTTGGAATGGCGCCCGCACCGCCCGCA